TTTGAATAAACAAAAAAGTACATGAATGTACCACTTCAATGTAATTATATGTTAACAGAATAAAAACTAACAATAAATTTCTGCAATATTTTTTCTTGGCTTTGTCATTGAAAGGTGTCTGACCATAGGGTTAGTTTCTTAGTCCAGAAGTAATGCAGTTACATTGGAAGGGGGCTCCCTTTTACAAAATATGGTTGCAAACAATAAAATACGGCCATCTGTGGTGGCTATGCATTGCATGAAAATTCTGATAACAGGCCACAAACTACATGTAAAGGTTTATCAATGATAATAATATGCTTGGACCTGGTTTATTTTTCATATGAAAATTTGTGCTTACAACTGATTTTTAATCCGTGTCGAAAACGTGCACAGAATGGTGGTTTTGTGCACGTTTTCGACACGGCTTATCAGCTACCTCAAGTGCCAAATCCATGAAATAAACAACCAATGTCAATAGAGTAGCCGAGGTGTTAAAATGGATTGAGTACTGGCAAACCAACTTCTGCATAGGTATGTCTCTAAACGCTTGCTTTCTGGTTGATTTAGTCATCTTTTTTGAACTCAGAAGCCCGCAAAACCTAATATTACATGTGAGAAAGAAACAAATCCGTCGAGATTTCCCGTTTTCCCGTAAAAGGGATGCTGGCTGTCCCTCTCTGGACTCCCTCCCCGCGTATACTAGTACTGTTTATACGGCGAACTTGGACGTTACCCCATTGGAGACTTTTATCGAAAAACAAATGATAAAATATTTTAATCGTATAAAGAACTCGTCAAATCCATTACTAAAACTAGCTTTCCAAGAAAATAAAGAAATTAATAGTAAATGGTACACCAATATAGATTCCCTTTTAAATAACATCAACCATTCTTACCTGATCGACAGCGATGAAACTCTAACTGCAAGGCAATTAGGACAAATCAACAAAAATATACAAACATCATTCATATCAACTTGGAAAAGTGAATTACATAATGACAATCGATCAAAACAAAATGAAAAAAATAAATTAAGAACATACAGAGAATTAAAAAAACAATTTTCCTTTCGAAACATACCTTGTTACCCTGAAAAACATTGATATGCGCGAAAATTTAACTAAATTCCGCCTCAGTGACCTTAACTTGAAAATTGAGACTGGCAGACACAAAAGAATACCCCTTGCTAATAGATTATGCAACCTTTGTGATAAAAATGAAGTAGAAGATGAGTATCACCTCATGATGTCATGTAAAAGATATATCCCCGAAAGAAATGTCCTATTCGAAATAGCAAAAACCAAAATCCAAAACTTTAAAAATTTGCCGCTAAAGACTCAATTCATAGCCTTGCTAAACAACAGTGGCCTAACACTCCCCGTAGCAAGGTACCTAAAGAAGTGTTTTGAAATAAGACAGCAACCCCAGTGACAACCTTCTCTCACTATTTGAGTTTTGCATTTTGTTTTCTATCTATCGTAGTATCATAATTTTATACTAGCTATTATCTGTAATGTATTTAGTTGAGTAGGAAATATGGTTCCCCATGCACCCCAATGATATATTTTTTTAACTTATATTTTTGGAATCGTCAGGTTGGCTAGTACACGTATTTTGATGTTCCCACTGCGAAATTGTGTCCCATGACGTCACTAGGCAGCCATTTTGGCAGCCATCTTGGATTTTTTACAGAAATCAATGATCGGTAGAACTTTTGAACCAAGCATCCCAGAGAGACAAACAAATGCATTTATCCATATAATTTGGACATGGGGGAGTTCAATGAGAACGTTATTTTTAATATTGAAGCAGTATAAATGCCCGAAAGCCAAAATATCTTTTTTGGTCAATTAGCATAAGTAGTAAAAATAAGTACACAATATTATGCATACAAAACAATATTTACTCAACAATATATCTGTAAACTAAAGTTAGTGAAAAGCACAAAAGCGTAGTTCAGTTGACATAAAAGTTGACATAAAAATGATATATTTTTTTTCACTACAGGTTTTGGTAATGTCATCATTTAGTCGTCATCACTTAAAAAATCTTCATAATCAATCTCTTGCTCCTCTTCTTCTTTTTCCTGATCGTCATCTACAGTTTTCACCAGCAAGTCAATTAGAGAAGAAGGGAGGATCGGACCTGATGA